GAGAGAGAGAGAGAGAGAGAGAGAGAGAGAGAGAGAGAGAGAGAGAGAGAATGGGGAAAGGATCTAGCTGCAGGACATAATGTCAACCAGGAAATGACAAATAACATGAGTTAGAAAGTGGATAGATGAATCTACCCTCCTCACTCTCAAAATACTAAAACTTCTTAGGGGTATCCAGTGAAAATGATTGGCAGCAGTTCAGGACAGACCATGAATGAATGAGGGTTAGATGCCCCAAAGTTTTAACCCAATGAGAAACCATGGGCTCAAATGCTGTGTTGTTTAGCCCTCAATAACCTAGAGTTCCAGGCTTGAACATCGCAACTGGTAGCTCAGGAAAGATTGTTACTGGACTGTTTAGGAAAGCAGATGAAAAGGGAGAGTGATGGACGGTGGGAGAGAGAGGCCTTGACAGTCCATGGGCTGTCATTATGTGTAACTGGCCCACTATGCCACTGAATGCTAGTTCTTTGGGAGCAACAGCAGGTGACAGCTACTCCCATGAAGCCTGTAGTGTGATTTTCCTTGTGGCCAGTTGGAGGTACGGAGATGAATGGAAGGCAGAAGAGGAGTGGACTTAAAAAATAAAACAGAATAAAATATTGGTTGGTTTGGGGTGATTTTGTTGTGAGTGTATGCCTTATGTACCCATGTGTCCCCAAGTGTTTAATCACCTATGGGAGTAATTAAATAACACCCACTGAAAAGCTGGAGATAAATTTGCTAAACAAATTAATGTCTGGTGCCAGTTGTCAAAAGAGGAAAGTGGATTAGGGATGGCCCTCACTATCCTGTATTGAACATAATTTGGGCTGCATGGAGTGCAAACAAACTTCAATCCAACATGCAAGCAAACTTGAACACATGAAAAGCCTAATTTGGACACTGTTCTTAGCCCTTTGCCGACACCCCCCCACCCCCCGTAAAAACCAGCTTAATGAAAGGTAGAAGGCTCTCATTGTTTGGCGTTATGGATTGTGGGGCTAATGCACACCCCATGATCTCTGCCTGCAGGTGGTGTTTTTCATCATCAGGTAACGGAGCTCACAATGTTCCTCAATTATGGAGAGTCTCTTTTTTATCTGCAGTCAAAAAGACCTTGGATTCAGGACAAGCCCACGATCCCTCATTGCAAAAGACATTCTGCTTAGCTGAAGTAACATAGGGCTTGTACTAGGACCAATATGGCCACCAATAGTGGAGGTGAGGTACAAATTGAAGTTGGGCTCAGGGAAGGTCTGTTGCTCAGTCGTATAGCAGAAGTCCTGAATGCAGGAGGTCCCAGGTAGGATCCCTGGCATCTCCAGGTAGGCTGGAATAGAAACCCATGCCTTGTTGGTCAGTGTCAAGAGTAGAGGGCTAGATAGACCAATAGTCTGACTCAGTCTAAGGCAGCTTTTTCAGTTTTGGATGCATGGAAGGCCATTTAAATTGGAGCCGCTATATTTGAGAGTTTGCATTAAACACCCCCCCTCCACCAGCCCTCTGTTTGACTAGATGAAACTTTGGACTAAATTGTGTGTGTTGTTTTTGCTGGCTTTAGGTTATTGGCATATATAAAGAACTGAACTGCTAGTTTCATGCACCAAAGAGATCTTGTCCTTTTGATTCTTTAACAGATGCTCTCCCATGTTACAAGGTAATGAAGCATATGTGTCCTGCAGTTTGAGATAACGAAGAAATCCTATCGGAAAAGCAGAAGCCACTCTTTGCGTCTTTGCATTTGTCTTTAAGGGAAGGGTTGCTACAAGAAACTTATACTGAAGTTGGAAGTTGTAGCCATGGGAAAGAGCACTGGATTCTGTCTCTGTGCCCCTAATCTTTTCAGTCACTTAAAAATGACTCAAGCCCTACTTGACAAATTTCCTGCCTGCTTTATCTAACTAGACTACATCCATAACTCTCAGAAACTTTATTTCTTTAATTTGACTTCCAACTTGTCCTACAGCAAGGTTACCTTCAGGATCGTGTTACTTTTACAATATGCCGTATTTAATGTCCAAACCAAGTACTGTAGTGGGAAGAGTTTGTTTTGTGGAATTAGTAAACATCAAAGGTTAGGTTTTGCGCATTATGATACCTGCCAGTGAACAGGAATGTTGTGAAAGTGTGTTAACATTGCATTTATCTTTTTTGTGGGCTGTGCAAACAATACCAACAATTAAAGGGCATTCTTGGAGAATCACATCTTTAAAATCAACAACTAATTTTTGCCTTTAAAATACTTAGTGGAGTAGGCTCCTTTTGAATCCAGTCTTTATCTAATCACATGTTTCCAAGTCAACTGTTAATGATCAGAAAACCCTTGTAGCAATCTGAACTGATGCCAGCATCACCCACTGTTGGAAAAATAAAATAATTAACTTGAACCGACATGCTGAGATGCAACTGTGGCAGAATATCTCTGCTGAAATTATGCATGGACCTATGCCAGTAGGCAGCAAAGAAAACACGTGGAAGAAACAGCAGGGAGTTGCAAGTTATGTTTATATGTGCAACTGAGGTTTCATTAACTTCTGAAATGAGTGTGTGCCACTTCATAATCTGGATGCTTTCGCCGACTTGCTGCAAAGCCTGTTGGAAGCTCCCAGTATGGTGGGGTGGGGAAGGGTGGCATGTATACTTCAAGCATTCTCTTGTTTGTGGTCTGTAAGGAGCCCTGGAAGATGGACCATGGCCAGGCTGAGCCAGCAGGTTGCCTGTGCTTAAAGTTGGCTTCAGGTCCCATCGGAGTGCCGCCACCATCCCCTTGCCTCATCTGTTCATTCCCCATCTTTACACCCTCTTTTGTGGCTGGCTGGATCGTCACCACAGGGCCAGCTCTGCCACCATCTCCCTTGCCTTTGCTTCTCTGTTGCTGATGCTCTTTTATTCAGGGGTAGATGCCTGCTTCCTGGATGGAACTTCCTCTTGGCAAATACGTATAGCAAGACTGTGGGGGCACTAAGACAGACTGGCACTTTGGTTATCTTCTTCTGAAGATCCGAGAACTAGAAAGAGAGATAGGATACTGGCATTATTGAAAATACAGCACTCCTTGCCACAAAGCCTTTGCCTCCTGCTCCACCTTCCTTTTGCATATCTTCTGGATAAGGGCTTTTCTCTGATAATTCACACTGCATCTTCAAATTTCTCAGTCCCTGAACTTGTTAACATGTTGGGAGGTTAGAAATAAAGCATGTTGGAGAAAAATCACAAAAATAAATTACTCTAAATGTTTAAAACTCTTCACTGAATTATTGTGGTATCATACAACCTAAGATCAGTTGTATCACTCTTGTTGTTAATTAGTTATTTAAATAATGTTTTTTCCCCTCTTTGTAGGTCATTTTGTTCTGCATCACAGCTGCCCTGTTTATGTTCTTTTTCAGGTATGTGCTTCTACATTTTTCGTTATAAAAAGGATTGTTTGTACTGGAATTTGTTCTCTATGTTCATTTTTTTCTGAAATAAATAACAAATTACATATTTTTATTTTATGTGCCATTTACATGATGTGGTTTGATAACAAAGATAATGCCTGTTGCATCTGCAATCTGATATTTCCTGTTGTGCTTCTGAAGTCACCTCCTTTTACTGGTTCAAATAAAACCCAAAATTTGGCTTGCATTGGAAAAATATGTGGTGATGATGAGGATGCATAAGGAATATGCAAATAGTGATTTTTCCCTTTGTCTCTCTCTAAGATAATAGCATTTTATTTCTGTCCTAGTTACCTTGACTTTACTGGCCATAGGGAAGAAATTTAGGAACCCTGATAAATGAATAGAAGAATGTGATAGCTAATACATAAGTGATAACCGGATTATTTGCATAACTGAAAATTTGGTCCCATTCTCCTTACATAACAGTTGGCTAAAATATTAATTTCGCTAATGCTGCAAAACATTTCCCTGGATACTGAAAAAATATTCTAAATGCAGGTTTGGCATATGAGCATCCAACTGTTTCTGGTACGATCTGGAGGATTTGAACTCTTTTTGTGGCTGTCTCCTCTTTAAGATTATTTAGAAAGTGTACAATCTTTGCCAGTTGTTAGCCATTTTATTGATACAAGCTGCTTTGGGAGACGGTTATTACCTGAAAAGTGGGATAGAAATGCAGAAAATAAATAGGGAAAGTGGTATTTTTAAGCACTCTGTCAAATGAAGAGTTCACACAGGGAACTGACTGGGGTTTTGCTATTCCACTTCCAGTGTTTCAGGGTACTTTATGGCAAGGCAGAGGCATGCTATCTGTGGCACACAGGTGTTTGAAAACATCCATTTGCAAAAAACACAATGGCCCAATCACTGCACAGCTTAAACTAATTGGGATGTGCACTGAGGTATTCCAGGTATTGTTTGCCTACTTACCTGCCTGGTTGTTGGTGGTGTCATAACTTGTTTGAGAGGGAAGACCCTCAAATATCCCAACGGCCCATGGGGTTTTGGTAGTTTGTTAGCCCCGGCGACAACACAGTCTCTAGGTTTGCCCAACACAGCAAGTTGGGCTGTTGACTCATGAAACTGTCGTGGACAATGGGGGGAAAATAGCTACAGTTATTTGTCCCTGAACATGCGAGCCCAGTCAAAAGGTACAAAGGACTCCGTGGCTCAGGGCTGGACCAGGATGTTTCAAAATAGAGGAACAATTCCATTAACTCAAGGGAATAAAAAGAAACTTCAGGGACTTTCCTTGCTTGCTTGACATCTGGATTATGTCAGTGAGCAGAAGTACAGTGGGGATAATTAAGCACTGGTGCTTACATCAAAAGTATCATTAAGGCCAACCAGGAGGTATTACTGTCTGTTTATGTAGGCGGCAATCCTATGCTCATTTGGGAGTTGGCCTACAGAATTCAGAGGAACTTAATTCTGCACAGATATGTATGAGCTTGTGCTGTCAGTGCATTTTCATTATACCTTTCCAGTTACTCAAATCAACTTGCAAAATAAACATTGAAAACTGACACAACACAGTGGCTAAGACATTAGAATTCTAAGTTTATCCATAGGATAATCTCCACCCAAAGAGATCAGCCACTGGCATTGCCAAAACATGTGGCAAAGCAAAACATTTGCAGTTTTGTACCTCCAGCAATTACCTGGCATTGACACATACTTATTAAAAAGCTGTTGTGGCATCCAGGAAACATGAAACATTTTTTTTGCCGAATAAGACATCAGCAAAGAACCATAAACTCTTGTGACAGTCATAAAAATAATGTTCCATGGATTAGGCAAAATAGAACCATCTAATACCCTATTCGGTTTGCCTTTGAGAGTCGGTACCTCATACTTACTCACTGATACTAAGTATTTATAAACATGAGTCATGGTTTTATATAGCTGCTCAGCCTCAAGCAATTTTTCCAATAACAGAGGAGACTCTGAAGCTGTACAAACCTTAGGGGCAAACCCAGATGCTAACAGAGGGTCAGGTATTGCCAAAGCCAGTGTTGTATTTGATGTGCAAAACTGAAAATAACAGATGACAACTTATTATCTATGCCCACTAATTGATTCAAAGTAGTAGGAGTAGTAGAAGAAGATGCTAAAGAAGAATTCTCTATGTCTGAGTTTGTCACATTGACATTTTCTTACCAATATTTCAATATGGAGTTACTGGTAAAGTCAGTTTAGTATGAGAAAAGGGACCACACTGTAAATGGCAAGATGTAACATGCCGTACTTCTTTGACTGCCATGCTTGTAGGGAGCACCTCATCTCTCTTAGTTTGCAGAGAGCCTGATGCCATCACTCTGGTGAGATGATCAGACCTAAAGGTTCCAGAACTGACTGAGCTGATAATCTAATCTAAATGGAGAAAAGTAGAATTTAGAACTGGTCAACAAATATTTGGAAAGCCATATACACCTTTTTAACTTGAAGGTTGCATCCTATTCAAAGAAGAGAGAGTGAGAGTGTAGGAACCTCAGAAACAAAGTGTTAAATTTTTGAATATAGTTTCCAGGTATAAACAGAAGAATCCTGTGTGAAGCCTATACAATTCTAGGTACCTAAATATGCCAGGTGTATTTAATTGCATCCTGTCTATCATGTGAGATCTCATTGATCAGCTTATTCATATTTAGTTCAATCGTTTGGATATATGTCTAGGGAAAAGCATTTCCAAATAGGTAATTACTTAAATAGCCAACAGATTGCCAACATCAAAAGTGGAACTAATGACTGAAGTTTCAAGATGAGCAGTAACAGTTGATCAGCATAAAAATAATTGTAAACAATCTAAATTTGCATACAATCTAAATGATTGTATCTTTCCCTGCTATAAAATAGTTGGAGAAACAATAATTGCTTTTGACTCTGTCTCTTGGGGTCGAATATAAAATTATTACCCATAAAATTCTACTAGAAAGCCATAGTTTCTCAACATAGCAAAGATAAATTTCCAATAAATTTGTCAAGAGCTTTTTCAACATCCAAAGAAATACTAGCAGTTGGATTTGTTCTACTTGTATTGAAAGCACTCAGGTCAAAAGCTAATCTGAGTTTATGAATTTCCCATTGATTTTTAATAAATCCCATCTGGTTGCATTAAATAAATGTTGTGATATCTTTTACTCTATCAGTAAAAACTGCTGTTAACATTTTACATTACAGAACATTTTTCATTCTACATTAATTAATGAAATAAGCTGATAATTAGTGTGCTATTTATGGCCCTTATTAGGTATAAGAATCACAACACTACTAGTATTATTAACAATGCTAAGAGACCAGTCCAAAAATATTATTATGATGAATCATTGGGATCAAAAAGGTAGAGCATATTTTATAATGTTCAGTTGGAAACCTATCTGGTCCAAGTACTTTTGCCATTTCATGTTTAAAATATACTTCATAATTTTCTCAATATGCAGGATAACCAAAAGGAACCCAGCTGAACAATCTAAATTTGGATGATTATGTTGAAGGGGAAAAAAATCCATTTATTCCTCTGATGTTTCCTTTCCCATCGTATACAAATTGGAGTAAATAAAGAATTATGAAATTATATCTTTGGTAAAAGTGTATCATCTTTAGTGGCAAATATAACACTTTGATTCTTTTTCTGTTTTAGGGAAAGTGAGTAACAAAGCTCTTTGTTTTTCTTATAGAAGTTTCCTTTAAAATCTTGAAATGGATTTGACTCTAGACCATGAAAGATTGTTGCATAATAATGGCTACTCTTCGGCCTTGTTCGGATGTAATGCTAAAGCTTATAATATGTTCAACCAATAGCAAAACCTCGGACTTCTTGCATTCTCCTCCTCCTTCTCCCTGGCAAGAATGTGAAGAGGAGATTGGTTAATCATAACTCTAATGTGTTGGAACAAATCAGCTTCCTCATCTGTGGTTTAAAGTTGGCTTGTTATATGTCAAGCTGTGATTAATCAATCATTGAAACAAAAACTTCCAAACTCATCAGGGCTGCGCTGAAGGAGGGGGAGTGTATGCCTGAGGCTTGTCGTGGGTCATACTGGCAACTGTGGTGCATTCGTTCTTAGTAATGTCCAAATCGCTCCTTTAAGGTGCCAGAGGGCTTTTCATTTTTTTTTTTTTAAAAATATGGTCTGATCAGTTGGCAAGGAAGACTTACTTGCTGGCTTAAAACTTTATGAATTTCATGCTATGTAAGCATATATGCTAATTATCTTGGTATCTTTTAGGTTCACATCATGCTTCTGGTGAAAGCTCATGCTGTAACAGACTGTTTAGTCTCTAAGGTGTTGCACTAAAACACCTTTTGACCCTTTATGCCTGCTTTTCCTAAATTGTTTCATTATGTCTTCTGCAGGATACTTTGCTCAAGTAACTGCAGTTTTATAGCACCTGAACTTAGAGATTTCAGCAGAAAAACAAAACAAAAGAACTATTAACAGCTGCCTGTATTTGTCCTCTGTGACTTCTTCAGAGGGCTTCAAAATCCAAAAGCTTCATATTTTGCCTTTAATAACTCTGGTCATAAAACATTTTGCAAATGCCAGCCAAAGATATTTGCTCTGTCCACTGAGATGGTGGAAAAGAGAATAAAGGAGGGGAAATATCTTTTGAAAATGTCTTTTGTCCTGTAAATTCCTGAAACTGCAGGCATCTCTCAATTTTGTTTTGTGTTGGTAGTTAAAAGCATATGCTTACCCTGATAAATTTCTGTTGTGGTACTTGATACAGAACATTTGCCCCGGTTATTCTACTAAGAATACTGACAATAAACAACTCTATGGCAGATTGTGAATTGGACAGTTTACAAGATTTCCCCTATCTTGTAGTTTCAAGCAACAGCTTAAACTAAGCATAAATACAAGTTAGAATATAAGATAAATATTTGTTTTACATGATTTGTATTTATTCAAATACTGTTTTACTTTTTACATATGTATGAATTT